ACACAGGTGGAGGTAGAGGCACCGTGCTGCTCGGCGCTGTGGAAGGCGCAGGAGTTGGCGTGCTCGCACTGCCAATTCCGCCGATGTTCAGCAGCTGGGAAAACCTCTTCACTGCAGGACAGAAACACTTGGTCAGTCAGGATGATGGGGACTCATGGATAGGAGCAGGTCGAGAAAATTACGAGCTGTTAGCTCCTCGGGGGTGATAGGTCGGAGATCGGGGGCAGGGTCGTTCACCTCTGCTCGGATTAGCCCCGCCGACCAGAGCTGGGCATTGTTAAATTCCTTCACTTTCAGTTGAGCCTCCGAGCTGACCAAGCGGTCTAGCTCGGCCTCGGGCAGGGGAGAAGGGATTGGATCGGTTACCTGGGTATCCTCCCTCCAAGTTAGGGGGGGAAACCCAGTATTCCTCACAAAAAAGAACTGGGCCTTCCAGCCCTTGATGGAAGAAGGCATCTGAGTGAACAGCTCGCGGGTAGGGAGTTCCCCTCCGCTCCTGCGAGCGAAGTAGAACCAACCATGAACCGGGCCACTTACCTTCATCTGAAAGAAAGACCTAAATAGGTCCAGAGAATAGGGGATTTCAAGAGCTCGGCACAAAATAAAGAAGCCGAGGATGGACCGAATGGCGTTGGGAACGACCTGGGTAATTCGAATGCCCCAGAAGGTTAGGATGTCGTAAAGAAATTGGGGAATGGGGAGGCGAAAACCAGCCACGAGCTGATCTCTGTAGATAGCCACAAACCCAGGGGGAGGTCGGCAAGCGTACTCCCCTGGCTGGGCTGCCCGAGCCTCGAACTGGGGGAGAATGTCGTACCTCCCCACCAGTTCATCCACATCCCCTTGGTCGAGGAGGGGAGGGATAATCTCGACTTCCCCAAAGTCGATGTCTGGTCCCCTAACGGGACCTGCTCTGGCGCGAGCTGGAGCCACCCCCAGAGGAATCTCTGGGTCAGCAGCGCCAGCCTCGGGCTGAGCAGATGGACCAGGTCGGTTCATGGCTATAGCAAGGCTTGGGATTGGGGGAGGAAGATATTCAGACCCAGACGAGCTGGAAGGAGAAGGACTGGAGTCGGGTATTTCTATGAATACAGGTCGGGTAATCCTACGCCTAGGTGCTGAGCTGGTAAGGTCTGAGTGTGTGGAGGAAGACGACATAAAAGGAAAGGAGAACTTACTGATGAATGAGGGGGAAGAACTGAGGTGTGCTTAGAGGGTAATCCTACTCTCGGACGACCTCACTGAATGCGGAGCGAGCTGGAGAAGATTGGAGGAGAAGAGAAAATGAGAAGGAAGGCTTGAGAGTGACGTTTGGTGGGGCCTATTTATAGGCTCCCTGGGCGGGAAGCCGAAGAGTCCCGGGGAAGAAGTTCGAATTTATGGCTAGGGGGCAGTTACCTTGGAAGACGCGTGAGCTGACAAACCGCCATCATGAAGGACGTGACCCTTGAAGTGACGGTTACGACGGCGGACGTGGCAGTTTTTCGGAGGAGATACGTGATCGTGGGATTGTGGGTCCCGCACGAAGCCGACGTGACGCTTCGAAGTTTGGTCCAGACCCACATGGCTCGTCAGTGACTCTAGACTCAAGGGGGCTAGTGTAGTGGGGTGAACCTGCGCGTGCCACGTGTCAGCTCGGCAGGTCTTGCTCGTCAGGTCGGCTGTGAGACCTCGCAACTCGCAGGCGCTAGCTCGGCATATGGAGGCCAGCTCGGCCTTACCTATCGATCCTTGAGATGGGCCTATGGGCCGCCGTCTCCGAACTTGTAGGAGCCGCCGCACGAAACCCTAAGAAGACTCCGAACCCTACGGGGATTCTGACTTCCACAAGGAAACTACAACCCACTCTGCCCTATATAAACCATGCCTAGGGACAATACAAGGTACGCAAACACAAGTATTCTAGACTATAGCTCCGTGCGCAAGCTAACTGACTTGATCGTCGGAGATATACCGGGGACACCTGTCCCGTACTTGATCTTTCTTTGTAGGTACACGAGCTCGGCTTCCTCTCGCAGGTCAATCGCGTCTGTTCAGCTCGGCTCGCTACAGCCCAGCTCGGACTCAGTTTTTGGCAGTCGCATCACCAAGTAACCAACAAAAGATTTAAAAGCCGTGTTTAATTCTAATTTACCTGTTTGTCTAGAAAATGACCCTGTGGAATAATGAACATCTATGCTAGTTGGTCATAGCAGCCTCTATCTCGATTTGATGCCTAGAGCCGAGGCAGAACCTTTACTTTGGGAGGGCAAATTTGATTTCACATGAACTAGATAGTATAATAAAAAGACCTTGCAAAATTTTGTACCGAGGCAAACATTTTAGCTAAAAAAAAAAAAAGAAAATTTTTTTGAATGCTTTCAAACATTTGAGGGGTGAAAAAAATTTGATGAATCTAAGTTGGGGCGGTGACTCCTATCTAGTCTCCTCTCCTAAACCCCTACGCTGGTCTGCCATAATTTGATAGTTAATAAGTTGGAAAATCAACAATGATATTGATTGGTGATACTTTTTTTTGGTCAGAGCTGGACACCACCACACTAATTGATGTTCCCCACCTTCTTGTGTGTGTTACCATGTTAAGAGGACTTCCATGCTCGTCTTCAGTGTTTATGATTTTGCGGTTGACACCAATTCATGCGAGCTACCATTAAAAAAAGGCATGGATTTGGTCAATAAGCATGGCCATGGCAAAACTCATTGTGTTTGGCTAGGAGATTAGTTGAGAAATTTTTCGAAAAAGCACTGTAGCATTTCTTTTGATGTGATGTGTACGAAATAAAAAAAATAATTAAAATATGTTTATAATGTAATCAAATAATTTTTTGCAAATAATAAGCTATCCAAGTAAACTGTTAACTTTTAGCTTAGTTTCGTTTGCCATGATGGCACCTGCCAGCAGCACAGTAATATTACTAGGGATCAACCACCGGTTCATGCTTTTAGAGATCACATGATCACTTTAGGAAAAATTCACTTTTCGTCCCTAAATTTTAAGTTAGGGATATATTTTATCCCCAAACTTTTAGACGTATCACATTTGGTACATGAATTAATTATTTTTTATCACATTTAGTTCAAAAACAGTAAATTGCTTAATTTGGATGGGGAAAGTCACGTGCTTGGTAAGTGATCATTAAGTAAAAACAATTTCTCAATCAAAATCAACAGCAACGTCAGTTTCTCCATCTAAAATGAATAATTTATCGTTTTTTGACTAAATGTGGTCCAAAATAATTAATTCATATATTAAATGTGATGTGCCTAAAAGTTTAGAGGCGAAATGTGTCCTTATCTCAAAGTTTAAAAACGAAAAGTTAAGTTTTTCCTGACTGCTTCAGAGCCTCAAGAAATCTTGGCTAAAGATCGGTACGTTACCTCCTCCATTTGTGATTGGATAGGAGCCACCTACGGCCCTCGGCACCGCGGATTGACTGTCTTGAATATTTCAAATCTGAACCTTGCTGGTAGCCTGGTACCATACCTCCTCAACTTGGGAATTTGTCCTTTCTTGTTTCCCTTGATATTAGCAGTAACAATTTCCATCGAGAACTGCCTCGTGTTTCCTCTAATGCTTATGGGCCCTAATTGGTCCATGCTCAAACATTGGGGACGAGAATTATAGTAGTAGCAAAGAGAAAAAGAGAGATGGAATTGCCTTCAAGAAGCTTATTTTTAGCAGCTTTTTCTTTCCGTAGGATTTCAACAGTTCTGCCTTCCTTCGTCGGCTGAGCCTTCAGGTGCCTTTATCAGTGAGATCTGTTATGATACATGAAACATAACGTTTTGTGAATATATTCTCAGATCATATCCTAAACCTCAGGGTGGTTATACTCGTGAGGTTCTTCGCAAATTTACGTTGTACGTGTCAAATGGTGCCGCCGACTGGACATGCGACTTGATCGGCTCACTTCTGAAAAATGAAACAGATTCCGGAATCCGGGTTAAATTAAACGAATGCTTGGGCGATTCAAATTGACTATTGGACTCATTGACGAGTACTACAAGTTACTGATTGATCGTGACTATAAATCCCTCAAAAAGAAAGCACATGCTATTGTTGATATGGAACTGAAGTGCGAGAGGGGTTTTGCTCATTGAACTTAATTGAGACTAATTTGAGAGTTTAGGTTGCAGAGTGTCAAAAGTTGAGCTAATTAAAGTTCAGAATTAAATTTTAGGGTGTAAAGTATAAATTTGATATAAGTTTGGAGGGGTCAAGTGGTGTCACTCCTTAATTCTAATTTGCCTGTTTTGCTAGTAAATGGCCCTGTGAAATTATGAACATCTACCGATGAATGTTGATGCAAGTAGAAAAGGTTTGTATTCCTTAATCATGAGGTCTCAAATTTGAAATTGATGAGAATGTAACTAACAACATTAGAAGAGTTTTCTACCGTAAGGGGTCCAATCTGGTTCGAACAGAATTAGTTGCAAACTATTAACAGACGTGGATACCTATGTTTTATACAAAAATTATCAACATCTATACAAGTTGGTCGTAGAAGCCTCTATCTTGATTTGATGCATAGGCCCGAGGCAGACCATCTTACATTGATTGGGAGGGCAAATTTGATTTCATATCAACTAGATGGTACAATAAAATGAACTTGCAAATTTTGTACTGGGGCAAGCACTTTATCTCAAAAGAAGAAAATTTTTTGGATACTTTCAAACATTCAAGGGGTTTCCTGAGTCTAACTTGGGGCATCATTTGATAGTTATTCAGTAGGAAAATCCAACATTTATATTGACTGGGGATGTTTTTCCTGCTATATTGATGTTATCATAGCTAGAGAGAAGAGACGACGACTCTAATTGCTGGCCCCACCTCCATGTGTGTTAGTGCGTTAAGACGCTTCCATGCTCGCCTCCCCTATATATGATTTTGCAGTTGACACCATTTCATGTGAGTTACAGTTTTTCTGTTGTTTTTGTGATTTTTAATCTGAACTTGATCAATGGGCAAAATTCACTACTTTTTCTTGCTAAAATTTAGCATGGTTTTCCTAGCGGTGGGGGCTGCCAGCAACAGTAATATTACTACGGATCAATCAGCGCTTCTTGCGCTTAGAGATCGCATGATCGCTTCATCAGAACCTCAAGAAATCTTGGCAAAAAACTGGTCAGTCACCTCCTCCGTCTGTGATTGGATGGGTGTCACCTGCGGCCCTCGACACCGTCGGGTGACTGCCTTAAATATCTCAAACATGAAACTTACTGGCGACTTACCTCCTCAACTTGGGAATCTATCTTTTCTAGTTTCCCTTGACCTCAGCAGCAACAATTTCCATGGAGAACTGCCTCGTGAGTTAGCTCACCTGCGGAGATTAAGATACCTCTATCTTGGGATCAACAATCTTGGTGGAGAGCTTCCCTCCTGGTTTGGTTATTTACACAAACTCCAACAGCTGACTCTAAGCAATAATAGCTTTTCGGGTTCTCTCCCGCCTTCCATCTCTAACATGTCAAAATTGGAGAGTCTATGGCTGACAGACAATTCCATTGAGGGGACCATTCCAATAGAATTTCAGAATCTTCATAGTTTGAAAATTTTGATTATTGATAGGAATCAGCTTTCGGGTCCTTTGCCTCTCCACACTTTCAATATTTCCTCATTGCAAATCATTTCTCTATTCCAAAACAGTCTATCTGGCATTCTTCCAGACACCATCTGTCACGCCCTTCATAAACTTACATATCTTGGTCTAGGAGGCAATAATTTGATTGGCCAAATACCTTCAACATTGTCTGAGTGTTCCATGCTCCAGACGCTTGCCTTGCCTCTGAACTATTTAAGGGGACCCATACCTAAGGCCATTGGGAACTTGACAATGCTCGAGACACTAGCCCTGGAGTCCAACAATTTACGAGGTAAAATGTATTAGTGCCCTGTTTCTATTCCTATTTTATAAATATATATTAAGCTTATACTTGTGCTCTTGTATATGGTTTGCAAGTATATATTGAACTTATGCTTCTGTTCTTCTATATGGACGCTTCAGAGAAAAAGAAAAACTGTACCGCCATTTTCTTTTCCTGGATTTGGTAGACAGTTCGTTGTGGATCATGCTTTAACAAGTATGCAAATCAAAATTGCAACCTTAAACATGCAAATCATGTAATCGGATTCTGCATATATTCTTTGGTTGATTACAACTTCCCTTCGGTTTGACCAAATTACAGATCAGATCCTGAGGTTTGTCAATATTACCAAAGGTCCTACATCCAAACATATTTATAACAGAAACACCCTAAATGGCCTAACCCATCTGTTATATTCTCTCTATTGATGCCAACATTATTTTTTATTAAAAGTCCGATAATACCCCGAGGCCCCACTATTCTTCTCTTTCTTTATTCAAAAAAGTTTTTCATTACCCCGAAGCCTCACCATTCGCCACTAGGCCTTTGGCCTGGTGGTCACTACACAAGACTTAAGTCTTGGAAGGTCAAGGGTTCAACCCTTACCTCCTATCAATTTGCCACTATATGTGGCAGCTTTAATTGGCCATCCATCGTTGTGACAAGTTTAGTGCATCATGTATATTATGTTTATATATTTTGGTCATTATAGTCATATTAATTTATAAATAAGGGTAATTTCGACATTTTAAAGGTTTCGTTACGAATGATCATTTCCATCACTTTGACACTTTAATCCAAATTTTCAGGGGGTTATGTATAACTTTTGAAACCATAGGAGTTATGTACAAAAATACTAAACCATAAGGGGGTAAAATGTAATTTGCCCTTCTTTATTCAACCTAAGTTTTCCATTACCAACAAATTCTCTCTTTCATGTCCGTCTGTTTCCTAGTGAAGTGAATCTTTAGTCTGAGAAGTTCATGAGCAAGAATGGACAAATTTAGACATAAATAATCTAAATTTTAGGACATAAAATACCCTTAGCAACCCAAATTTCTCAAAACAAAAAATTACCATCTCTCTTTGTGACACCCCGCAATTTTTTGTTCCAGAAATTAGATACATTAGTTTGAAATTTGCCATAATTTTATTTGGGAAAAATTTGTTAATTGCAAATTTATGATATATTTCGATAAAGGTGTGCATCGTTGTAAACTTTAAAGAATATTATTGAATAAGTTTATTGAGAAGAAATAAATATAAGGAATGATAAGTATGAGTTAACTAAAGTGATAAGGATGCAATTATTAAGAACGAGATAAGTTTGAATTTATTATGTAGTGGTTATAAAACTCTTTATGTTTGATAAGCTACGGAATACATTTTAAGTGTGCTAATGGTAATGGTTTCTTTATGAGATTTCATTGAGTTAGTAACGATTAATTGTGTTGAATACTAGAGTAGGAATTGATGACCGAGAAACCAAAATAAAAGGAAATGTGTAGAATTTCATGTCAATTAGACCTAGAAATAATTAGTAAAGTGATAGTATTGATTTATTGCAAGCTATTAGTATGAACTAATGAAGGGATAAGTTTGAATTTACTTCTTAAGTAGTTACACAACCTTTAGTTTTCTATCCAATAATGAGAGTAGAAATGGCTATTATAAAAAAGTCCGTAGGTCTTGAGGAAACAAATTTACTCCTAAGAAAGAAATTATCATTTTAGATGACGATGCTCTTGTATTGGAAGTTTGAACCATTTTAGTTTTTGACAAGTTTTTACACCCAAATCATTAATTTAGTTTTGACTAGTACTGTAAAAAGTCACGAGAAGTGTGTTTATTTATCAAATAAAAGAAAAAGAAAACCTAGTAAACTAAGCATATACAATTGGTTTAATTAAGAGAATTAGAATATCATATCTGATATGCTTGTTTCGTTGATGTTTTTTGAATTTATCATTTTTGAATTTTCTTTTTTTCACAGGTCTTAAAAATTTATTATTCTATGTTTTCTTCTAAAATAGTAAATTATATTTTTCCTTTCAATTTATCATTTTCTGCGGATAAAAAGTTCCAAATTCATAATAGTCTCTCTCTCTCTCTCTCAAAAAGCTAAGATAGTCATGTTTTGGTTTGATTTAGAATTTGGAAACCCACTATCTCTTTGTAGTAAAATTAAGTTACTTTAGGGACTTTGAAAGTATTATGCATCTTTCAGACAAAAAGAAATAAAGAAAAATAATAGCATAAAGTTGGCCACATTTTTGTTTTTAGTTTTATGAAAGTGAATTATTAGATTTTAAACTTTTGTTGCCAAAAAAAAAAATGACAACTAAAAAAAAGGAAAAATAAAATAGATGTAGTTGAAGCACAAACAATTAAACTTTCGCCCCAGTTTTGTTGATTTATTTGCAACGGTGTTTTTTGTCACTTGCAAAACTCTTTCCTTGCCAAAAGTTTTTCAAAATCAAAGACATTACTTCTTAAAGGATTAATTTTTCCTTTTTACACTGTCAGCGTTGGATGAATGACAACTATGTAAAATTTAAATTTGAAATTCAACTTTTACACACATATCATGAATCAAATGGTGATAGTATATACGCTTCAGTGTATATAAGATTTACTCCTTCTTAAATGCTAAAACTCTTTCCTTGCCAAAAGTTTTTCAAAACCAAAGACATCACTTCTTAAATGCTAAAATTTATCAATTATGATAACTTTATCACCCATTAGGCATCATTTCCAATTAATGCGTTTGGAGAGTTCAATATTCTCATTAATTGTTATTGTATCCTTCCATTACCAATCATATCAAACTCATAATAGTTGCGATTTTGCAGGTGCAACTCCAAATGAGATATGGAATCTAACTATGTTGACGGGTTTAGATTTTAGCAACAACAAATTAACTGGTATGTCAAATTTCCTAATTTCAAGTCCTTAATTACTTAAACCGTCGGCAAAACTTGGCATGCATTTGATCTATAGGATTAAAAGGAACACAATCATTTCCAACTAATGCATTTGGAAAGTTCAAAATATTATCATTGTATGTTACTATAGTTTTCCATTACAAGTCAAATCAAACTCATAAAACTGCAATTTTGCTGGTGCAATTCCGACTGAAATACAAAATTTAGCTATGTTGGCGATTCATATTTTTCAAATCCAAACAACAAATTGGCAGGCATGCTTGGTTCCTCATTTCGTGGTCTTAATTGCATAGACCGTGGTTAAAACTCGGCATCAGTTTGATCTATAGGATAACTTGGGCCCATGTTCGATTGATTGAAATCAACTTTTCATTTTAACGGATTTTATTTTGAGTAAATATTAGAGAAAATGACATGTTTCATCCCTCACATTTTGTAAAAATATTCTTTTCGTCCCTCATATTTAAAACGAAGGAAATTGATCCTTCATATTTAAAAACCCAAGGTTTTACATTCTAGAAATAAACTCTCAGTTGTGAATCAAACCATCTAACAACCCGGTTACAAATTTTGGAGGTAGAATTGGTAGTTCACACGTAAAAACATATTTCCAACAAATAAATTAAAGCAATTAAAAAATCTTAATTAAAACCCATTTGTTTCTTCAAAAGAACGAAATAGTGCTAAAGCTCTCAAGCACTAAACCCTTAAACATATTCCTCAGTTTTGTTGCACTAAGGGTTTAGTGTTTGAGAGCTTTAGCACTATTTCGTTCTTTTGAAGAAACAAATGGGTTTTAATTAAGATTTTTTAATTGTTTTAATTTATTTGTTGGAAATATGTTTTTGCGCGTGATCTACCAATTCTACCCCCAAAATTTGTAACCGGGTTGTTAGATGGTTTGATTCACAACTGAGAGTTTATTTCTAGGATGTAAAAGTTTGGATTTTTAAATGTGAAGGACCAATTTGTTTCGTTTTAAATGTGAGGGACGAAAAGAATATTTTTTTGAAATGTGAGGGATGAAACAGGTCATTTTTCTTATTATTATATACACCAATAATGTATACATTATTGACGGTTAGATACACGATACATGAATAAAATTTGGATTTTAAATTTAAATTCAGATGAATTTTCATGCATCCAATGATAATGGTGTATGCATTATCAGTGTATAAAAGATTAATTCTTTTATTTTATGTTTAAAGAGGTGGATTTTAAAGTTGCAAATAGAGGGATTAGAGAGGACCTATAACCCTCATTTATTCTAAAGGTTTTTAAAATTTTTCTTTAATCTTGGAGCCTTGCTAGACAGTGCCAATGGTATGCTAACACAATAATAATTACCATATTACAAGTGCAATACCCGAAAAGATTGGGAACCTTCACAGATTAGAGCAGCTTTATTTAGACAATAATACATTATCGGGTTACATACCTACAGCAATTTTCAATATTTCATCTCTCCAATATATTGCACTCGACCAGAACAAATTCTCAGGAACAATTCCTTTGACAACGGGCAATAAGCTGAGCAATCTGAAGTTTCTTTCTCTCGAACAGAATCACTTGACTGGAATTATACCTACCTCCATCTCAAATGCTTCAAAGCTCGTTGCTTTGTCGCTTCATGATAATGAGCTCACAGGTTCAATCCCCAACTCTTTAGGAAGTCTAGGAAAGCTAGAATTGCTAAACTTGGATTTCAACAGGTTGTCAGGTGAATCCTCATCTCCAGAATTAAGCTTTCTCACTTTCTTGACGGGTTGCAGATCCTTGAAATATTTAGTAGTGGGATACAATCCTCTGAACGGTTTCCTTCCAGCTTCCTTCTCTAACCATTCAACCTCTCTTGTGTATTTTACTGTAAGCAATTGTAAAATCGAAGGAAACATCCCCACTGGAATCGGCAATTTGAGCAGTTTACTGCATCTAGATTTTTCAGGTAATGAATTGGTTGGATCTATCCCCAAAAGTTTCAATAGATTGAAAAATCTTCAGGTGTTCTACTTGGGCATCAATCAAATAAGGGATGTCTTGAATATTTTCTGTGAACTACATAGCTTGGGGTTGTTACAGTTGAGCCAAAATCAATTTTTTGGTGGAATTCCAGAATGCTTAGGAAATATGTCAAATTTGACTCAGATTTTTTTGGACTCCAACAACTTGACTTCTATGATACCTGCCAACCTATTGAGCATGAAAAATCTCCAAGTTCTCAACCTTTCATCAAATTTCTTGAGTGGTTCGCTACCTCTAGAGATCGGGAACCTCAGAGCGGCATACAATTTGGATTTCTCAATTAATCAATTGTCAAACATTATTCCTACTACTATTGGAGAGCTGCAAGCTTTACAGAATCTTTCATTGGCAAAAAATAATCTGCAGGGCTCTATACCAAAATCAGTTAGCAATATGGTAAGCTTGGAATTCTTGGACCTTTCCCACAATAATCTCTCAGGTGTGATACCCAAGTCATGTTAGCCAAATAATAAAATAGGCTGATACAAAAGAGAAGAATAAATACAACCCAAAAAGAAAGTAATAATCGAAAATAACAATAATAACAATCCGAGGCTTGTGAACACAATTTCCTTAAAACAGATTCGCCCCCTCCAGGTAGAGTGCTTGAGGTTGAGTAGGCGTCTGTCTCCCAGGATACAACGGATTAAAAGGTGAATATGTCAGCACCAAACGTTCTTCACCCCAGCGAACTCGAACTAGAGCAATATGGAACACTATAAAAGATGCAGATGCAAGAAGGAAAAAAGAGAGAGAGCGCCCTTGCTTTTGAAACAAAAGGAGATATTTATAGATGCTGACCAAGGGTGACTGTTAGAAATTGGCAACAAGTGTTAAATTCCAGATAATTATCTTCACGTTTATCAAAGGACCACATTCATGTACATACATGTATCTCAATAAGATAACCCCAAAGGAATCCTATCCAAAATCATGTATCAATAATTAATTTACATGAATGATAGATAATTATCCTGAATTCTTTCAAGAGTGCCATTATGAGAACAATTTTCTCATTCACTCTACAATGAATATAGCCATTTTTCCAACAATCCCCCACATGAATGGAAAATTTGTTTTGATTTGACTCTACAGTAGTGTTCCACAACTGAAACCTGCATAAGATAGGTTGGTGTTACCCATTGAACCTTCTCTTGTGAAATACACTTACTTTACTAGCAATCCAGTAGACATGATGTCTTTGAACTGTCTCGCTTTTTAGTGTAAATGAACCATATATTTCACACAGGAATCATGCTCCATTAGATCAGTTCTCATAGTTATGTTCGTTTTGGCCATGAACATCAACCTGGTTCAGCAAGAGTTTTTAAGAATTGAGCCCTAAACAATTCTCTTTTGAAGCGGCCCCACTTCAGTAATAAATTACTTCACTTAAGAATCATTAAAGCACACATTGTGCTATCCTTAATTCTCCTTTGCGTCATTGTTTCATTACGGAATGGGTTTAGGGGTATCCCCCCACAATGACTACGCTAAGTCCTTATAATTAGGTTGTCCCTTTGAACCTAGATCTTGGGATCTCCAGTCAGCTAGGTTGGGTTTCCTTTATAACACTTAGCCTTCCATGGGCTTTAGTCCCATTCCCTTTGCCATTTTTGCAACCAACTCTCTATTCAATCCTTTAGTTAGCGGATCCGCTATGTTATCCTTTGATTTCACATAATCAATAGAGATAACTCCTGTTGAGAGTAGTTGTCTAATGGTATTATGCCTACGACGTATATGTCTAGACTTACCATTATATATGTTATTCTGTGCTCTTCCAATTGCTAATTGACTATCACAGTGAATACAAATTGGTGGCACAGGTTTCTCCCATTTTGGAATGTCTTCAAGGAAATGGTGGAGCCATTCAGCTTCTTCTCCACATTTGTCCAAGGCAATGAACTCAGATTCCATTGTAGATCTAGCTACAATAGTTTGTTTAGAAGACTTCCAAGATACTGCCCCACTGGCAAGTGTGAACACATATCCACTTGTGGATTTTGAATCCTTTATATCAGATATCCAATTTGCATCTGCATACCCTTCTAAAACAGCAGGGTATCTAGTGTAATGCAGTCCATAGTTCCAAGTGTACCGTAAGTATTTAAGTACCCTTAAAATTGCTTTCCAATGATCAGCACTCGGATTGCTTGTAAATCTGCTCAATTTGCTTACTGCATATGCAATGTCAGGTCTAGTACAACTCATTAAGTACATTAGACTGCCAATGATTCTTGAGTATTCTACTTGAGAAATACTCTCTCCTCTATTCTTAGATAGATGGAAACAATTGTCTAATGGAGTTCTTGCAATTCCAGAATCATCCTTATTGAATTTTTCTAGAATCTTGTCCACATAATGAGTTTGACTCAAGACCAACCCGTCTGATATTCTTGTAATTTTAACTCCTAAAATTACATCAGCAAGCCCCATATCTTTCATGTCAAATTTTGAATTCAACATATCCTTGGTAGACTTGACCATTTTGTCATTACTACCAACAATAAGTATATCATCTACATAAAGACATAAGATGACATAGCCATTGTCTGTTTCTTTAGTGTAGACACATTTGTCACACTCATTTATTCTGTATCCATTAGTTATCATTGCATTGTCGAACTTTTCATGCCATTTCTTTGGCGCTTGTTTTAGTCCATACAATGATTTGACTAATTTACAAACTTTATTTCTTGCTCCCGGAGTTATGAAACCCTCAGGTTGCTCCATGTAGATTTCTTCATCTAAATCACCATTTAAGAAGGCCGTCTTTACATCCATTTGATGTATCTCCAGATTTCTCAATGCAGCGATAGCAAGTATCATTCTGATAGAATTTATTCTCGTAACAGGAGAATAAGTATCAAAATAATCCAAACCTTCTTGTTGCTTGTATCCTTTGATTACAAGTCTGGCTTTGTACTTATCGACAGAGCCATCAGGTTTCATTTTCCTTTTAAAGATCCATTTGGACCCTAAAGGTCTACAACCAGGAGGAAGATCCACTAACTCCCATGTATGATTCTGTAAAATAGAATCAACCTCACTTTTTATTGCTTCTTTCCACAAAAATCCTTCAGAAGAACTTACAGCTTCTGTATAGGTTTGTGGTTCCTTTTCTAATAGAAAAGTTGTAAAATCATCTCCAAATGATTTTTCCACTCTAGCCCTTTTGCTACGTCTCGGTTCATCTTGTTGAAACAAGTCATGATCATGTTTTTCTTGATTCATAACTCCATGTGTTCGTTTTGATGAACTTGATGCACCAATCAATTTACAAGGAAACACATCTTCAAAGAATGAAGCATTCCTTGATTCCATTATCGTATTTTTGTGTATATCCGAAATTTCTGAATTATACACAAGAAATCGATAAGCAGTACTATTATGTGCATAGCCTATAAAGATACAGTCCACAGTTCTAGGACCTATCTTTATTCTCTTTGGTGCTGGAATAGCCACTTTTGCAAGACACCCCCACACTTTCAAGTATTTGTAGGATGGTCTCCTACCTTTCCATAACTCATAAGGAGTTTTATCTTGTTTTTTTCCGGGGTACCCTATTTAAAAGTTAATTGCTTGACAAAATAGCTTCACCCCACATATTTTGAGGCAATCCTGAACTTAGTAACATCGCATTCATCATTTCCTTTAATGTGCGATTTTTCCGTTCAGCAACACCATTCGATTGTGGTGAGTAAGGTGCAGTTACTTCATGAACAATTTCATATTTTGCACAATAATCACCAATAGGTGTTTCATATTCACCACCTCTATCACTTCTTAACCTTTTAACTCTCCGGTTAAGTTGATTTTCAACTTCATTCTTGTAGAGAATGAATTTTTCCAAGGCTTCATCTTTACTTTTGAGCAAATACACATAACAGTATTTTGTACAATCATCAATGAAAGTGATAAAATATTTATTACCACCTCTTGTTTGAACAAATTTCAAATCACAGACATCTGTGTGAATCAATTCAAGGGGTTCGGTGTTTCTTTCAATTGTTTGAAAAGATGACCTTGTTAATTTTGTTTCTACGCAAATCTCGCATTTATGTTTTGAATTGATGTGAAAGGAAGGAATATGATCCAAGTTAATTAGTCTACGCAAAGCATCATAATTAACATGACCTAGTCTACCATGCCATAAATTGGAAGACTCAAGCAAATAAGCAGAAGACTTATTCTTATTATTCACAATAGTCATTACATTCAATTTGAACAACCCATCGGTTGTATATCCTTTCCCTACATACATCCCAGATTTGGATAATATAACTTTATCCGATTCAAAAACCATGCGAAAGCCATGCTTGTTCAGCAACGATCCAGAAACAAGGTTCTTGCGGATTTCTGGCACATACAGAACTTCGTTCAAAGTCAATGTTTTGCCAGAAGTCATCTTTAGTAACACCTTCCCTTGACCTTCAATAGCAGATGAGGCAGAGTTCCCCATGAACATTTTTTCTCCTTCAATTTTTTCGAAGGTAGTAAACAAGTCTTTGTTTGTGCAAACATGTCTTGTAGCTCCAGTGTCAATCCACCATTCTTTCGGATTTGACCCTATCATATTTACTTCAGGAACCATAGCAGTCAGGTTCATGTTTTCCATGTCTCCCTCGATTCTATCAAGCAAGTTTGCTTCATGCTTCTTCTTCTTTGGAAGCTTACATTCAGTGGACTTGTGACCTTTTTTGTCACAGTTGAAGCACTTACCTTGGAATTTCTGCTTAGAGATTTTCCCTTTTGCCCCAAGATTTCGAGTTGGCTTTTTGCCTTTGGAGTTTTGCCCTTGCTTATACTCCACAATATTTGCTTTAGCATCAACAGAAGTTGTTGCCTTGCAATCAGAACCCCTGTTGTCTTCTTCAATTCGAAGTCTAACGATAAGGTCCTCCATACTCATCTCTTTGGGCTTGTGCTTGAGATAGTTCTTGAAATCCTTCTACCCAGGAGGTAGCTTCTCAATAACAGCAGCTACTTGAAAGGTTTCACTCAAAATCATGCCTTCAGCTAGAATCTCATGCAAGATAATCTGAATTTCTTGCACTTGACTGATAACAGTTTTGGAATCCACCATTTTATAGTCTAGAAATTTTCCAACGACAAATTTCTTTGCTCCGGCATCTTCGGTTTTATATTTCCGATCTAAGGATTCCCACAGTGCCTTCGCCGTCTTGTGTATTTGATATACGCTATACAGCGAGTCATGCAAGCAGTTCATGACATAATTTCGACAAAGGAAATCGGAGTGCTTCCAAGCATCAATAGCACTGACAGCTTGTGCATCAGTTAAGCCTTCAGGCAGCTTTGGAGCATCCTCACTTAAGAATCTCGAGAGATTCAATGTTGTCAAATAGAACAACATCTTTTGTTGCCATGTCTTGAAGTTCAGGCCATAGAACTTCTCAGGTTTCTCACTATGGTTGGTAGACACCATAGGAGTAATCTTT